ATGTAGTTGGTTAAACTAACAACAGCATAGTTGGGTTAAGTAGGTTACGCTAACAACAGCACAGCAAGGGTGTAGAGTTGTTTGATGAGATAACAGTAACCGTCAAGTGTTCCTTTAACAATCAAAGTTATCCAGGAAACATTCCTGACAAGGTAGTACTGTAAATCAAAAATAGGTTCAAGGTCAAGTGTTGGAAACTGCATAACAAGTGCCTGTTAAACTACATGTAATTAGTGGACGATGACACAGCCTTTAAAGTGCATGTATTTACTAGTTTAAGGTAAGTTTAACATTACTAGCTACATGTACGTGTGTAGTTTAAAAAGATGTGCGATATTTGAGCCACTTAAAGAATTATTTGTTGTCTTGCTTTTTTGGGCACAAAACCACATAGGAAGGTATTGTAGGACACTTCCACACCATTTCCAGGGTAAAGAGTTGTTTGTTGAAGCAACATAGGTGTTTGGAGTGTCTAGTAGGTTGTGGGTTTTCACATGCAGGCGTGTTGTTCTATGTAGTAGGTTAAGATAACAGATAGGGTGTACTAGGGTAAGATAACAATAACACTAGCAGGGTGTAGAGATGTTTGTTTGAACAGTACCAATGAAGTGTCCTATAATAACAAGAGTCTCAGCTACTCTGAAAACAGCCCTGACAAGTTAGTACTGTATATCAAAATAGATTCAAGGTCAAGTGTGGGAAACCGCATAAGAAATACATGGTATGCAACTTTTTTGAGTACTAGGAAGTTGTAACTCGCAGGATTCAATGACGTTGTTGGATCGATCTCAAAAGTTACCATTAATTTGCAAAGAAATATATATTTTCACCAAAGGTTCTTTAAATTGTATGTATGTTTAATAAAATCTGGCTAATATATGCAGCCGTGGAAAACAGCGTTTGGGCGCATATTTTTAAACTACTCAAGTCACTTTTTCCCAAGCAAAAAGAGCTACTTAAGCTTATTTTCCAAATTTTGTCACCCTAGCATGTCTAGATCATGAGATTTCAAAACTGGAACTGGTCAACTATATTGTTTTTAATTATCTAGTATAAAGCGCATGCCATAATTGCATTTTGTTGGAGTTTCTACCATCTATATGGAAGACTCTCCTACTCGCACCGTCGTCTTACGTATGTCAACTCTTTTTTGTGTGTTTTCTCTTGAGGACAAGATAACTCGAGAATCTTTAAATGGATGTTCATGTTTTATAGTTGGCAAGTTACCATTGAAAATACCAAAACTTGCCTGAACTGGTAGCTGGAAGGAGAAGCGCACATCCAAGCAACATGGCACCGAGAACCCTCATGATGGGTCTTCTCTCTGAAGCAGAGCATAAACAACACTATTTGCCAGGGAAAACGTATGTGACTCTTTGACTGCTCGAATTCTTTTATCACCCATAGTAGACTGACAAATATATAACACTAGAGTTCCACGATCTCATACCTTCGCCAAGTGACTTTAACCTTTACGACTGACGATTTATATTATAAACATTCCTAATTTGCATAAATTATATCAGGTGATCATAATTTCTATCCAATAACAGTCTTTAGAAAGAAGGCCATTCATAAGCACGGGTGTGTCGCAGTTAAAGCAGGGGTGTGGAAAGATGATTTTACTTGTGCTGTCAGACCAGTGATTTAAGATGACAGGATATTGTCTGCTGCAGTTCCAGCCATACGGTTTCACTGGTGACGCCACGGCATGCGCGCACAATCTCTCGCGAGCCAAGAATCCAAATCAAATCAAAGCTGTCAAAGTCACTAGCCTCCCCCGGGCCTTCCGAATGAAAAGTCATACCGCTGTAAGGGTAACAAATTTCACTGCTCGGCCCACCAAATGCAGCCCTGTGGTGACCAAACTCCCCTCGCAAACCCTCCCTTTACGGCTACATTTGGGCCAGCTTTGTTAGTCTGGTAGAGACTGTAGATCCGTCAACATGGGTAAGACCATGGCCAAGGAGTCTTAATAAATCTGTTCCGCTCATCTCTCTTGGATCGTGCTCTGTCGGGATTCTTATGCCGATAAGACGGAAAGCAGGAAAACCAACAAACCTGTAAGCCCAGTGCCAGTGGCCATAACAAGCTCTAACTAGTAATGGCATGAAATCATGAATGTCATTGATTATGGAAATAATCAATGTGGGATTCCAAGCAAATCATTTTAAAAATATGGAAACTGGTTCTTTTATTATACCATGCTACGTAATAATTTATTTATATGAATTACATATAGTTCAATCATCATTTCTTAATAATGGAATTATTCTACATCAGTGTGAAATAATCATTTTAAACCTGCTCTATACAATAACAAACTGTACATGTATACAAGTATCAGATATACATTTGTTTATAGTATTTACATCACCATTTACATCAGAATGTTGTATTTTACATTATATGTTTGTTTTATTTATTTTACATTATATGTTTTTCGATTTCATGGGTATTAATTATTGTAAATCAATTATTTACAGTATCAGAGAAGGAGAATGTCACAATCAATACCAAGCTAAG